GGGGGGTCAGGTCTATATAAGAGACCCCTCCCGCTGCCCTTGTTCTTTTGTTTTTCTCCTTTTTATCCTCATCCTCGGATTACCATCTTGTTTTTCCTTGTGTATTCTCCTTCTGTTCATCTCCTACTGTTATTCTTTTCTTTTTAGCGGTCCTTTCACTTCATCTGACCCCTCCCATTTTCTCTTCTCTTTTCTTCGTCTCCTTACAACCCCATCATCCCCTTCAACCAAGCCGAAAGGCCGACCAAACGCCGAGCAAGATGCATTACAACAACTTCCTTAGGCTCATGGCCCTCGCCGCCGCCACGGCCCCGGTCCTGGCTCTGCCCACCGGAGGCGAGGCCGGCGTGGCGGCCCTCGAGGCCCGGGACCCGCAGCTGGCGGGCCTCAGCCGTCTCCCCAACTTCAAGAACCCGTTCAAGGGCATGGGGCGGAAGAAGACCTCTAAGCGCGAGGTTGACGAGGAGGCCGATGAGGAGGCTGACGAGCTTGTTGCCCGCCAGCTGACGGGCCTCAGCCGTCTCCCCAACTTTAAGAACCCGTTTAAGGGTATGGGGCGGAAGAAGACTTCTAAGCGCGACATTGACGAAGAGGCCGATGAGGAGGCTGACGAGGCCGCCACCCTGGACGAGGACGCCATCGAGCTCGTGGCTCGCCGGCTGACGACAAACTATGGCCTTCCCCCCAATAACGGAATGCCGTTCGTGGGCCCGGAGCGGACAAAGCTTCCCAAGCTCCCCAAGCGCAACGTCGACGAGGAGGCCGAGCTTGTCGCCCGCCAGCTGACGGGCCTCAGCCGTCTCCCCAACTTTAAGAACCCGTTCAAGGGCATGGGGCGGAAGAAGACCTCTAAGCGCGACATTGACGAAGAGGCCGACGAGTCTGCCGCTATGGACGAGGCCGCCACCATGGACGAGGAGGCCGAGCTTGTTGCCCGCCAGCTGACGGGCCTCAGCCGTCTCCCCAACCTCGGTCACCTCAGGCACCCGCTCGGGGGGAAGAAGACCTCCAAGCGCGAGGTTGACGAGGAGGCCGAGGAGTAAGCCTCTTTCGGATGTGCTGCGTGGTTGAGCTCGGGGAGGAAGCGAGAATGTAGTATAGAAGAGAAAAGAAAAATGGGGGAGAGATGTCTTGGAACGTGTGGCATGCTGGCTCCCTCTTGCCAGCCAATACCTCTAAATAGCACACGCTTTGACCCTAATTGCCGGCCTATGAGAAGCCTCTCCCATGAGGATTTGAATGCTGCTGTTGAGCATGCACGTACGTGCTGTCGATACCCTCGTTTCCTCTCATCCTGGCTCTTGCCATCTGTTTCATCGCCAAGAGCCGACCTGTACCAAAGAGCACGCATGCAGGAGCACAATGGAGAAACCAGTAACTTGTATCATCAACGGCCGAGGTAGTTATCCCATGCTCATGCTTTTATGCATAAACCCACCCTACTCACACCTCATCACGCCGTCTTCCTAGGCTGGCACTCAAGTGCTTGCCAACACTATGTACCTGTAAGAACGAGCGCAAAGATCATTGAAGCGAGAGAGAGGTATCGCTGTGTAAAGGCCAACAATAATGCAACCACCCCCAAGGGCTCTCCAATGGCATTCTCTGACAATAAGAGAAAACAGGGGCCGCAATGAACCCACAGTACTGCACGTCTTTGATCGCCACGGAGACGGAGATATGCACCTTGAATGAAAAGAAGAAGAAAAAGGGAAACATGCGCCCCTCAACTACGCTGCCAGTGCGTAGTCGGATGCAATTTCAGGATCCTCGTCAGAAATCCCAAATCCTTGGCACATGGTGGCCCCTGAAGCAGAGTCGCTCACGTCCTCCGAGTAAGACCTGTCGTCTGGGCCGCTATCGACTGTGGTCTGGCCTTGGGCCTCTCCATCCTGCTGTTCTGGAACCTCCTGCCTGGATATCGTCCGAGGCTCTCCCTGTGGGCTTGAATGTCGCTCAGCGCGTGCTGGGGTCTGGGAAAGACTCTGAATGACATCCTCCAGGGTGTACAGGGGTTCTGGAAGAGGCCGGGCCTCTGTATCCTCTCCGTCGTGCGCCTGAGTCTCTATCAAGGTCTCTACAGGGACCATCGTGGGACTCAATGATAGGGTCTCGGCTTCGGCGGGCAGCTCAGGTTGGCTTTGAGTGTCTGGCAGGTTATCCTGTGGCAAGCCCGGGCTCTCTGTCGTGTGGGAATCTGCTTGCGTGGGCTCAGCCACATCCTCGGGGCATTCGTTGACGACCGAAAGGCTCTCCGAAGGGGCCTGTCCTCCTTCACTCGTCTGTTGCTCTTCTTCGATTGAAGCCGCGTGCTCAGACGAGGCCTCGGAGATAAGCGGTTGCTGGACCTGCTCGCCAGAATTGCGGGTGCTGCTTAGTGGGCGTCGAGTCTTTGCCGGCACAGCCGTTGAGATTTGATCGCCCTTGGGGCGGGGCCCATCGCGAGTCTGGGACACGGGGCGCTGGGCGTCCTTGAACCGACGGCTCCAGCGCCGGTACCAGGGGACCCTCTCTTTACCCATCATCTGCCTCCATAGCGTGGTTCTCGTGGTGTCCAAGTCGGGCGATGTCTCCCTGTGTGTCTTTCGGCGGTACTATCTCGCCGGTTTCGACTCTTTGAATTTGTCTAGGAGCTCCCGAGCCCACCCGCCTCCTCGCAGGGCTGCCTGTTGAGAACGACGACGCCCAAGATGAGGTGACGACTGACTGGCAAAACCACCCGGGCGCCTCCGAAGTGTGGTGGCAGCGTGTCGCACTCTAGCTAGGGCCATGGGCTCGTCTGCCATGGGGTCGTCCGACTGTCGCGGATTGCAACGGATCGAGGCAAAGGAAATATCTGATAATGTCAACAGACTTGAGCCGGACACGCTGATGGCATCTTCTAGTCCATCAAAGACACTGTCGCGGATGCTGGGCGTTGGCCGCTCCCGCAGCGAAACCGTGAATACGTCCTTGGCTGCAGTTGGGCATGGTGTTTCCTGTCCCGGTTCTGGTGACTCGATTTGCTGTGTCTCGTGTTGGTGCCGAGCCTGCACCTTTTCGAGAGGCACACCATGTGGGCCATCTTGCAAGCTCTCGACCGTGGTGACAGTATCGGTCTCAGCTCGAGCGCATTCGTCTGAAGATGTGCCCTCACGGCCTGGGCGGCAAGCAGCAGATGAAGACGACGACCGGAAGAGTGACGACAGATGGCCACCGGGCTTGCCAAAGCGTGTCAGCGATGAGAACCAGCGATTCCGCATCGAAGCCGACGGCGGGCTGGGTAGCTCTGGGGAGACACGCAGGCCCTCGGACGGGTATGATGACGATGCACTGCGGACAGCTTGGAGGCACTGATCCGCTGAGCCCTCGTCCACAGCCGTGTCGCACTGCCCTCCACCCATAAGCCCCGTAGCCCAGGGGGCAGAGCTGGCCCGAGGCTTGCCATCGCCTCCCCGCAAGGTCAGGGACTCGAATGATCCGAAAGGGCTTCCAAAAAAGAACTGGTAGGGTTCCAGAGGCTGAGGGGTAACGATTCTGTCGACATAGACCAAGGAGCTCTCGATGGCCTCGTACGAATCAGCCTCGTCAAGCTCGAGGCCGCTCGGGTACTGGGGCGCTGAAGAAGATATGTTTTGGGCCGAGCGGGTTCCGGGAGCAGGCATGGCAGCGCTGAAAATGCTCTGGTTGGTAGGCCGGCTTGTGAGCGCCTTCACGGCCTCGGCAGCTCCACCGCTTGGAGCTGGCTGGCGCCGGCTGTCGAGCCCGCTCCAGGCATTCTCGTTAGAGACAATGCCGGCAGCAGGCAGGCGGCCCTGAGGACCAGCTCTCCCCTAAAGACCTGCAAGGGGCGACTGCTGACCGGGCCGTGCTCGGGGGCGCTGTGGCGTATAGCTGCCACTGCTCTCGCTACTGGCATGGCGGCGTGGATCCCTGACAGTCTGGCTGCCCTGATAGATGCCTGGGCGAATGGACTGCCGCTGAGAAGACAGGCTCGGGAGAGACATGTGATACATGTTGCTTGGGATGCAGAGTTGATTTCTGAGAATGTTATATGGGTTACTGGCTTGAGAAATACAGTGCAGCCCTCTAAGCGATGCTAGAGCCAGAAGCCGCACAGACGGCGACGAAACTATGCTGGCCGTCGTGAATGGGTAACGAGGTTGGTGGTAATGGAAGATGCGATACTGGGATGGACGAGTGTGAGGCAAAACGCCAGAGAGCAGAGGATGGTTGGGGAGCCCCAACAAATTCAGCAGATGCAGACATTGCATTGCTCCTTCTCTAACAGCCTTGGTGAGAGGTCCGATGCTTTCCCAACGGAGTGGCTGGTGCCTACCTCTTCCATGATTAGCACTGGTGCTCGTTCTTTTGGAGCAGGCGCAAGTTTAAGAGTTTGGCATGAGAAGAGGCCGAGTTGATACCTCGGGAGAGATGGACCATTCCTGAGGCAGGCAGGCACTTCTATCTCTCATGGTTTCATGAGTGCCTGTATCTCGAGACACGTGGAGAGTCACGTGTAGCAGTCCAGCGATTGTCGCCCCCACTTCCAATTGCCTCTCGGCATCTTGGAGAGCTTGATAGGAAGGAAACCTCGAGCGAGACCGGTGCGACGACGGCTACCAGCAAACCCCATCACCCGCGGCCAATTGACTGACCAGCACAACTCACGATGCGCCGGACGATACAACGACTCGCCAGCGTCAAGCCGGTGCGCTACCTCGAGCCCGGCACGCCCACGGGTCTGACGGGCCTGCGCACCCACGCCTCGCCGCGCGCCACCCTCCTCTACCTGTACTCGACCACCCTGGAACAGCTCAAGGCCGTGCCCGAGCACTCGGTCTACCGCCAGTCCGTCGAGGCCCTGACCAAGCACCGCATGGCCATCGTCGAGGCCGCCGTCCCGCCCGGCCACGCCGAGTGGTTGGCCCGCGCTCAGAAGATCATCGCCGAGGACCCGGCCCGCTTCGAGGCCTCGGCCGCAAAGGGCCGCGTCGACGGTGGCAGCATCACCCGCGTCGAGAGGGACGGCGCCAGCTTCTTGGTCCGCCACATGCCGCGCGTGCGTGACGTCCGCGACCAGGAGTGGGACGGCGAGATCAACGAGGGCCCCGAGCTGGAGGGCTCCAGGACCGAGGAGGAGCGTGCCGAGCAGGCTGTCATCTTCACTAGGAAGCCCCACGATAGCCCTTCTGCCCAGACTGCTTGGGAGCCCGAGCCTCAGCTTACCGCGGACCAGTAAGGCTGCACCCCGCATGCCTAGCACACGATACGGGCTCATACCCCACACCCCAACCATCATTGAATGCTAACCCTGGTTTCCCGCGATGCAGGATCGAGGAGGTTGAGAACAAGATTGGTGCCGGTCTTATTGAGGAGGTTGTTCAGGTTGCTGAGGGCGAGTTGAAGTTGGTCACCACCATGACCCAAGCCAAGGTGTAAGTCGTCCTACGACACATACCCCCACACATGACTGCCTAGAAGGACATGTGACAACATACTAAAAAAAATCCGGACTCTAGATGGGAGAGCTTAGACGAGCAGCCCGCCGAGGGCCAGTGGGTTTACTTTGAGCGAAAGGCCTGATCAACAGTCGCATGACGGGCGTTCCGTATCGTTATAAACGTGGGCTCGCGTTGGAAATAGGCCACGGGAAAAGTCCACGCTGTACGGTAGAAAGAGACTGGCGGCGATGTACATAGGGGCCCAAGTCAGTTCAAGGAGGCAAAGAGCGTTCTTGCGGGGCAGTTCAATGGGCATGTGTGAGTGTGAATACAATGCTAATTGTGATGATAGCAGAGAGATCTGTGGCCAAATGAGTGTTTAGTCGGGAACACCCAGGGAGACGGTGATGGAGCCCTTGATATATCCATGCTTGGATGCGTGGGGTTGAGAAGGCTTAGGTTTGATGGCAAAGATAAAAAAAATCTCGACATTTGTGGAAATACCAGCAAACGTCGCGGGAGTAGATGAAAACATAACTTCCCAGGCGGTTGATAACGCTTGTTTCTATTGACCCAATTCTATTTCACAAGAAAGCTCCCGCCGGGTCAATTTCCAGTCCATCTCGCGGAACCCGCAATCAAGCGCCGCAGACTTACTGTCAGAGATGCCCACCACACACCCATCATGGCGCAGATAAACCCACCCTCTTTCGCCCACGCTCCCCGCAGATCTTCCCACAAGCGGAAGCGCTCAGAGTCGGCAGCGCCCAGCAGCAGCTTCTCCGTCGGAGAAGACCGCGCCATCAACCCGCTCTGCTACACGCCCGCGACCCTCCGCCAGCTCCAGGTCGCCGGCCACAGCGACGCGGACCTGCTGCCGTCCACCTCGGTCGCGCAGTTCCCGCACCGCCCGCTGCCGCCATCCCCGCTGCCGGCGCAGTCCCGCTTTTCCCGCCCTCCCTCCGTCGCCGCCGCCGCCGCCGCCGCCGACGACGACGGGTGGGAGACGGAAGGCGAGGGCAAAGACGAGGGCGAAGGCGAGAACGAGAGCGAGGACGCCGAGACCGCGGCGCGCGCGGCCCGCGGCAGGCAGCAGCGTGCGCAGCACGCGCACCGGGTCGCGGACCGGCACCTCGGGGCGCTGACGGCGGTGGCGCAGCGCGCGCTCGAGGACGGCGACCTGTCCCGCGCGACGCGCGCCTTTGGCCTGCTGGTGCGCTCCGAGGTCTGGGGCCGGCCTGCGGACCTGCGCAAGGGCGGGTGCTGGGCCGTCGGGGCCGAGATCCTGATGCGGCAGGGCGAGGTCGCCGACGGGGGAAGAGGAAACTCGTCGCCGCCAACCACCGCCCCCGGCGCTGGGGCCGCGCGGCCAACATGCCGGCCGTCCGCGACTTTTTCATGGCGCTCATCCACCAGTACCCCTACAACAAGCTCCACCCGCGCGCCGTGTCGGCCCTTGACTTCTGGCCCGCCCTGCTGGGCTGCGAGCTGTACAACGCGCACGCCGAGCACGCGCGCGCGCTGCGCCGGCTGGAGGTGGCCGAGGCTGAGGAGGACGAGGAGGAGGGCAACGACGACGACGATGAGGGGTGGAGTGGCGGCGGGCCCATGGACGAGGGCGATGACGACTACTACCACGACGGCGGCGGCGGCGGGGTCAGGCGCGCGGCGGACAGGGCCGAGCGGCGGCGCGCGGCCAGGGACCAGCTCCGGCGCGAGGCGCTGCGGCAGATGCGCGAGGTGGCCAGGAGCATGGACGACCTGATGGTCGGGCCGCCGTACTCGGCCAGCCACGAGCTGCTGCGGCTGCGCGGCATGGTGGCGCTCTACATGGGCGACCTCGCCATGCCCCCGCCGAGGTCGCCGCCGCCGCCCGGCCGCGGCGACGACGACGACGACGACGACGACGTGGAGCTCCACGAGGCCAGGACCCAGCGGGACACGGAGCGAGAGCGGGCCAGGCGCATGTTCTCCAAGTTGCTCGAGGGCGGCGGGGAGGTGGAGGACTGGATCAGGGACTTTGTCACGCGCTGCGGCCATGATGGAGAGGAGGACGATGATAGCAGCATCATTAACCTGGGAGCCCTCTCTTCTTCGTTACCCATTAGAGGCCGCTAAGGAACTAGGTATTCTGTCTAATTTGGACCGCCCGAGGTATCTATCTATCTATCGAGACAGACTCGCAATGCAAAACAAGGACGAAACGAATATTCTAGCGTAAGCAGTTGTCGAATGAAAACGGCATCCCACCCATGCATGGCCAGTCACTTCTGCTTCTAGGAGGCGTGAGGGGTACCGCGGCGATCCGGAGCGGGCGTCGACTCGCCGCCGTGCCACCGCTGCAAGATCAGGGCGAGGTTGCCGCTCCCCACGACGACGCACCAGGCGCCGTCGACGCTCCACGCCACCTGGCGGCCCAGGAACCCGGACTTGCTCATCTGCTCGATGCGGTGGGGCCTGATGACGGCCTGCGGGTCGCTGACGTCGTAGCGCGACTCCCACTGCTCGGCCCGGGCGTCCTTGGGGCCGAACGCGTCGAGGGGATCGGCCGGCTCCGAGGGGGTTGCGACGGCGGGGGCGGGGGCGGCGGCTGCTGCTGTTGCTGAGGCCTCGGCGTCGGGCGTCGACGTGGCCCTCGAAGTCTCGCGGCGCAGCTCCCTCTCGGTGCCGGCCCCCGCGCTC